CACAAAAATCGCAAGTTTGAAACGAATGGAAAAAGGACCGCAAGCGGCCCAAGAAGCCCATTTATTAACCCTTTCGCGCCGACTGTCGCAAATACGTGCCAGCATAAAACCGCATCAATCAGGGTAGAAAGATAAAACTGGTAACCAAAGTAATTCTTTAGCAGTTTATTTGTGGGCGGGGTAATAATTGTTTGATTTATTTAATTCACCATTACTTTAGTTCAAAATAAAATTATTTAGTTACACTTTGAGCTAACATTGATTATATATGTATGATTAAACTAACAATAATTAAAGTAAAAGCTAAGTAAGTCTGTCAAATTAGCAACTCCTAAATTTAAACTACCGTTTTTTATTTATTTACATCCTGATTCTGTACGAATGATTTTATGAATCACCCGTCCCCAAGGGATTGAAGGAAGGTCAGTTTATTTTTTAAAGTAATTTCTGATATCTATAGGCTTTCAGCTCTGAACTGCGTTAAAATTTGAAAACCAATTTATACTTAGCTGGTTACATTTTTTAACCCTATGCACTCGAGAGGTGACTGTCAGTCACCACTGTCGCCTATAAATTACCCACCACTCTAATTGTGACATTTTTTTCATCTTAATGTTTAGTTACCATTTCATTCAGTCATCTCCGGGTATTATGAGGTAAGTTTGTAAAAAAATCAGTCATCTCCGGGTATTATGAGGTAAGTTTGTAAAAAAATTATTCAAAATTTTAGTGATTGCGTCCCTTTTTTTGTTGAGTTGAAAGTTGAAACAGTTGAAAGGACTTCGAGTGCAAAGGGTTAAAATTTTGTTTTAAAACCGATTCAGTGTTTCACCGTCTTTTACAGGGCTTGCCAACTTTCTACGCTTTTAGTAAAAAATTATTATTGTGGTAGCTAAGTTTATGTTTTAATGCTTTATTTTTTTTATATTCATTTAAACTTATTTCCCCACCACTACATATAAATGATTTAAAAGTTCATGTGTAACATCGCGCTGTACCAGCTCTCTCGTTATAAAGCTTTTAAAATGTTGTCAAAATTACCAAAAATTCTGATAGCTTTAGATTTTAAACGGGACCACTCTATATAATGTTTTGCAAAATGCATAGTAGTTGGCTGGCATGCTTTTAGGAAATGAACTAAAATTCATAGGTTACTAAAGAATGTAGGCAAAAGGGGGCAGGATTACAAATAAAATCACTATTGCTTAAAAAAAAAAAATCGAGAACGCAGTAACCTCGGTGCGAACTGCAGATCCAGTTATGTTCATGACGATTTTCGTCTGGTTTCAGTCCTTATGCACTAGACAGTGCAGCAGGGCAGAAAGTCCATATATATCAAGACGGAAAAGAGAAGAAACTGGAAAAAAAAATAAATTTCATTTTCAGCTTTTCTTTTTTCAAGAATAGCAAAATATCCATAACTACCAAACTTTTTTAACCGATATAATTTATATATTGAATTGCTTCTTCCCCGAAAAAAAAAATAATAGCCATGAATTGTTTATTGTTAAGAATAGATTTATTACTCCCGAAAATTATCTATTATTGAAATAATACTGATACCACTTATTTCTTTTTTCCGTCTCGCTTTCAGGCCTGCTGTGCAGTGATACAGCTGCTGTATCGTTATCAAGAAAGATATTTTTAAGCTACAACTTGCAGAATTATGGATCATTGCGATTTTTTTTAAAGAGCAAATCCGCGACATAGCTAGAATGAGGAGGTGATTTTTATGAACTTTTGAACTATTTAGATGTAGTTGTGGCCATATTCACGTTAAATCAAATTTATTACAACAAGAATTCTATATTAAGAGATAAATTTTGCTATCACTAGCATACCTTCCATTATCATTTTTTCCAGTGATATTAAAATGGAATTAAAACTTCAATTTTAAGCAAACAAATACGTTGCATTTGAAAAAACTTAAGTTGTTAACCGTGATAGTACCGCATATTAATATATGTGCTTAATTTTTGAAAGAATAGTGGTGATCAAAATCATTTAAAAATTAAGTTTATAAAAGAAAAAAATAGTATATATTTACTACCACTTTAAATATGAAAATAAAATCTTCCGGAAAATCCGGAAGAGTTGGCAGGTATGCTCCAGAAAAAGTTAGTTCTCAAAGAGGAGCAAGTTTGCATCTCTGATTTAATATGTCACCCGACCAGGCCCATCCGTAAAGCTGTATCGATGAATTCAAGACAAGTTCGATATTTTTATGGAAATAAATAACACGTAGACACAATTTGTTGGCTATAAAGACACGCATAAAAATTTGTAGATAAGTGCATGAAACTCGAAGTTCTTTTTTAATCTTCTATATGCTTTACGCTTTTTTTTTAAAAAATAAATGCAAAACAAACATTTAAGAGATAAAAAAAGAGCGAAAAACTAATTCACTCTATTTTTATGAAACTCATAAAAGCTATTTGGTTATCTCTTTTTTTTATTGGTTATTTTATGAAATATTTTTCGCTGATAAATGAATCGACACCAGTCATCTTTTAGAAAAGTTCAATGACCTAAAACCAATTTCAGAAAACAACTTTTTTCCACTAATTTTTGAAATAATAACACCTACAAGTCGATTTTTCTAAATGAATTTTTTAAATTAGCATCGAGATTAACATTCAATAAGTAAACTTGAAAACGTTAGAGATTAATTGTTTAGATTAAAAATGAAATCCCAGACAATAGATATCTAATATTTTAAATGACATAAATAAAATGCATCAAAGTAATACTATAACAATGAACGAAACAAAATATAAAAAAAAGACTTAGAAGTAATCTAATTGACAAATGATGTTATCGCATAGGCAGTTAATATGAATGAATTGCACGAGATATTGATTTTTTTCAGCTATGACAACCCATGAAGCGTTCAACCTGGGGTTCGTAATGTTCAACTGACTGACCGTAAATATCAATTTAGCCTTCGAAATAAGCTTTCAAAACACACGACTAAAAATAAAATTTGGATGAGAAAGATGAAAAATAATGAGCAATTTGGATCTAAAACAACAAAAAAAGACAAGGTCATAAATTCAAAGAAAGTTTTTTTTATTCTGTTCTCTTAGATAATGACGCAGAAAATTAAATAAAAGCGAAAGCGAGGGGATTACGTTGAAGTTTTTCCCGGGCTTCCAAGTCATTAATGTGCCAATGAAATTTCATTTCTGCGTTGCAGCAATTTTCAGAACTAGTATTTATGTGTTAGTTGTTTTCTTAACCTGTTTTTTTTTTAAATTTCTGAAAACAAAAAGACAACCTGATAATTGCTAGTTGTTTCAACGTTTTTTTTTTAAATATATTTTACATTTTAGCTAATGGAATTGTTATTTTTGTATAACTAGTTTCTGATTAAATTTTAAAAAAAGGTCAACAAATAAAGTACGGATTATTTAAAAATCCAGAACATCCCCTAATTTTTGTTCTAATATTGTAGTGACGAGGATCGAGCTCTTATTTAATTTTTGAATGATATTGGTATTAGGATTACATTTAAATTGAATAAATATTTTATTTTATTAGCTCTAATTTAAAATAATAAAAGAAAGTATGTTAGTGCTAATTTTATGTTAGTGCTCCTTTTGTTGTTGTTGACCATTAAGGCAAAAAAGGTGCTATTGTTCTAGCATTCCTTTTAACCATATGATATATTCTAATATCACATATCATATAATTCTTTTAGTAGATAAAACTTAGTGTTTATAACCTCTTAAACTTTTTTGATATAGTATTCAACCTCAGTTTCTGTATACAAAAAAGCAAAGAAAAAGAGAAGGGGGGGGGATCTTTTTCAAAATTGTTTATTTAGTTAAGGCAATAACAAATAGTTTATGGCCTTTAAGTTTTTTTTCCTTTTATACTTCTTTTATTATTTTTGTTATTATGTGTTATTAACTTGTACCATATTTAATCTTTGTATTTTTTTAAAATATTGTGACTTTGTACTGATCTAAATTCTTAATAAATTCTTGCTGAATGGGCTCGTTCCTAGGCTGGAGTGGAGCCGGACCAGTAGCCAAGCTTTGGGCTATATGGTAAAGGGTCCATAATGACCTAGGTACATGTCCAAAGCTTGGAGAAAAGAAAAGAAAAAGTAGATAAAAATGTTTAACCTAAGCAGAATTTATGTTTCAACCACTAATTAGACTTATCAATGATTTAGATCAAGTTTTAATTACATCGCTTTTTGATTTGGAAAAATAACAGACTATTTCAGTTTTGGAAAAAAAAGTCGATTGTTTTTTAAAATAATTGAAACAAAAAATATCAAAATTTGTGTAGTTTTCAGGTTTTTGACTCCCTTAAGAAGTATTATTTCTTAACTTAATCCGTTAGGCATATACGTATGTTCTCCTTTTACGTCCTTTTTCATTAAAACGACTGGTTACCAAACGATTTCAATCAGAGGATTTTTTTTTTTTTTTTTTTTTTTTGGCACAAGAATAAATTTGTTCTTGGCTCACTACATCAATAGTTTTAATATTTTCATATTCACCTGAAACCTAACGCTTTGTCGTGCGTCGGTAACGGATTGAAATCCTGCTTTATATCTGGACGTTTGTGCTGTTCTATAATTTGACAAGGGCTTATAAGCCGTCCTTTGTATTTAGTTCACTCGCTTACAAACGTATGCGTTTTAGGAACTTAATAAAAATCCACTTTTTTCTCTCGAAACATTTAAGTGATAGCTAACACTAAAAATATCCAATTAGTTTGGGCCAGTAATCACAATGTTCCAATTAAATTAAAATTGTAGTAAGAATTATATTTCTTAATCTATTTTTACATGAAATGAAACATTTTAGCTAACTCGCCATGTAAACAATTTAAGAAATTATATTAAGTAGTAAATATGTGAAAAGTGTTATTTTTTAGATCAAAGTGAAAACTAAAAAATGTATATTTTGTTAGATTTATATTACATTAAAGCTTAATTTTTTTGCTAATTTAAAGCAAATTGACACATTTGAATATTTTTACAGGACGGTGCTACCACTTAGTAAGGCGCAAGTGTCTTACTTCTTTTTCATAAAGGAACTTTTCAAATCAGTACAAAAAGATGGTGAATGGGTCAATGTAAAAACATTTACTGACCGAGACAAAGTGGTCAACCTCTTAGACAATGACCTGTTGCATGAAGGGTTACTGCCATTTATACAGGGCTGTGACACCTAATAAAAGTCTTTATACTGCCTTCCAATCGTCCATTTCTTTTCAACATTAGAAAACAGAACACGTTCTAAAATGGTTTTTAATTATCTGTTTCATCGAAATGTCCACTACAGCAGGAATTCAATGACTGTGAGTCACCAACCGGCAGCTTTAACATCTTCCGAAGATCCTGATAAAGATAAAAGGAGGTCTGCGTATTCCGTTATCTGATGTTGAACGTTCTTTTTACATATTCTGTTTGAAACTCATCTACATGGTAATAAAGATAATTCGTTTACCTGACTGTCCATTGTTCTCTTTTTCCGGAATGTTCCGTCACCGAAGAAAGTTTTCTCATGGGAAAGGAAACCCGCGTTGACCTTTATTTACAACAGCATTTAGAGAGATAATGTCACGTGGGATTTCCCGCCAAATGGAACTGCACCGTTAAAAATCGTTTGCAATGGAGTCCAATTTACTTTAAATTAGAATTGTAACTGAAGTGAAGGAAATATTTATTTTTGAGGTTAGTTTAAATTGAGTTGAACTTTTGTTCTGTTAAAACAAAATTCGTAAGCTTACCAACGTCATGGGAAAACTGAGAAACTCACCTGTCCATTTTAAATTTCTTAGAACAGAAATCGTTAATAGAGATTCTTTAGCAAATATGATTTTATTTACTTATTATAAATAGGAAAGGTAAAACAGTGAATTTTCAAATATATTTTCAGAAACTTTGGGATTAGTTTTCACTTGGGCGCTGATAAATTTCATTTTTTTTTTTTTAACTCTGCAAATTAAGACTAAGTTTGTTTAATTACGATCGGTGATTTGGTTACTCTTGGCGTGTTGTGCATTTAAATAAAAATTTCTGTAAAATTTCAGTTCGTTCCGAGATTTTTTTTTTTTTAAACTACAACCCTGATCTTCAAAAACTGCTTTCCCTTTCTTCTTTAATTTGTTTATGTTAAAGACAATTTTTTTTTTTTTTGGAAAAAAAATTGCTAAAAGGTAAAATTTAAACTCATGATTCAAATTTTCATTATTTAACTGTCCCATTTTAAAAGAATAAATGGGTGAAAAAATTTTAAATTGTAGGAAAAGAAGCAACAAAAACAATAATTATTTTAATAGCATCAAACAGAGTACAGGTAATACAAAAATTGCACTTTGAAAATTAATCACTCACTCTTAGTAACAACCTTAACACAAAACCCTATTTTTTCAAAACCAATTTTCAGTAATATATACAAGTATATATATATATATATATATATATATATATATAATATCNNTGAGCCACCATGGCTATATATATACAATACAATTTAAGATACAATTGCAATAATGATTAAAATTGAAGAGAAAAGTATAAAATGCATGATTCTAAGTTGCGATAGCACCAAGCTGCTAAATGTCACAACTTGAAGAATATTTGAAAGAGAGTTAGTTCCATCCAAATGTCCACCACGAAGGCAAATTTCTCCCAACACTTCATCCAGGAGTTTCCCTGTCTTCTGGATTAAGTTCGAAATGGCAAGGCTACGGAGTTGAATATTAACAGTCGTAAATTCAAAATTGGGTAGACTGTTTAATGACGGTTATAAAATAAAATATAAATAAAAACCTTTAATGGGTAATTACATCTTCCAAACAATATAAATATCAGGAACAAATCTCACATTGTTATTTTTTTTTTCACCCAGTAAGGTAGATAAATATAAAAAAGGAAGTAAATTAGAAATATTTCTTTATTTTTAGTAGGATGACCTTAAACGCCTTGTTGCCACTCACTGGAATATAATAAAACAAGCGAGGCGAGAAAAGAAATGGCGAACATGACTGCTCTTCTGTAACTCATATCAAAGTAAATCTTCCTATATGTATTTATAAAATCTTTTGTCTCCAACCTCTTTTACGACAAGCTTCAATGAATGAAGTTATTAAAATTACCTCCAAAGTTGAATGGAATTAGTTGTAAATAATATGCTCTATAATTATATATTTTTATTAATGAATAAAAAATGCTTTTGAATTAAAAAAAAGTTGGCTACCGACTGTGTGCATATCAATAGCCCCGTTTACGTGCACAAAAATGCGGGGTAAAAGCTGGAATTTTCGTCATTTTCTACCCTTCTTCCCCTACGCAGGGAAAAATTGAAGGACTGAAAGAAGGGTATAATAATTCCTAGTAGGAGATGGAAATATGCAGGGTAAGCTCACCTCGCTTTCCCGAGATGCATTGCGAGTCACGTGATTGTTTACGTTCTGGGCCCATGTGTTTTGTTTTGGAACTCGGAACGTGAAAATATTTTAATTTGTTTCAAATAATGGCGGGAAAAAAAGAAAAGAAGCCAGCTGATATATTTTCTTACTTCCGATTTATCATGTGACCAATGACGTAGAGGAAGTTGTTTGAAAATCCGGGGTTGAAATTCTTTTGCGTGTAAACGGGTTTTCTTACCGATTATACATTGCCCTGTAAAATCCCTGTACCCTTCTTTTACCCCGGATTAATAGATTGCTCATGTAAACGGGGCCAATGTATTCAATTTCTCCGGGGACTATTTTCTCTTATTGCATATTTCTTTTATAAGCTACCACTTTATAATTTAGTTGTGCAGGAATTGTATTTGGTTTTGAAAAATGTTACAGAGCTAGAGAAAAGATGACAAACATCGATCATTTACTAGATATAAGATCACCAAGACCACAAATGATATATTTCAGCTATATTATATTTTATTTTATAACCGCCGTTGAATAGCCGACACCATTGTGAGTTTACTACTGACAATCCGTTTGGAATTTTGAACACAACCCAGAAGACAAAGGACCTTCTGGATCAAATAAAAAAAATTCTGGAAAAAATTTGCCTTCGTGCAGTACTTTTTGATTGAACTTCCCCGCATTTGCATGACATGGAAAGGAAAATCGAGAAAACCTCCCATGGTTAGCCTGACGGCAAGCGGACTCTAACATAATATTCGTCTATGACTGAGGATATTTTACGCCATCACTGTGATCAGTTCGAGCCTGGAGCAGAGTTCGTATCAACTAGCCATTTCTGGGATTCGAAACTAGCACACCTGAATGGGGGACGAGCGCTTTTCCCCCTGAGCTACCGCAGCTCTCTAAGCTAGATTTTATCTCATAACCGTCGTTGAGCAGCTGACAAAAATTTGAGTTTTGTACAACGAATGCTCAACACCGTAAATTTGTAATTTTAAACCCAATCCATAAGACAAGGGAACTCTTGGATCAAGTATAGGGAGAAATTTACCTTCGCGGAGGACTGTTTGATGGNTGTGATCAGTGCGAGACTGGAGCAGAGTTCGTATCAACTAGCCACTTCTGGGATTCGAAACTAGCACACCTGAATGGGAGACGAGCGCTTTTCCCCCTGAGCTACCGCAGCTCTCTAAGCTAGATTTTATCTCATAACCGTCGTTGAGCAGCTGACAAAATTTTGAGTTTTGTACAACGAATGCTCAACTCCATAAATTTGTAATTTTAAACCCAATCCAGAAGACAAGGGAACTCTTGGATCAAGTATAGGGAGAAATTTACCTTCGCGGAGGACTTTTTGATATAACTAACCCCCCATTTGCGTTTCACGGAGAGGAAAACCACGAAAACCTCCCATGGTTACTCTGACGATAAGTAAACTCTAACCCATGATTCGTCTACCTCTGAGGATGTTTTACATCAGCACTGTGGTCGTTGCGAGGAGGGTGCGGAATATGAATTCCAGCCATCGTTGGGATTCGAACCCGTCAACCTCGTTGAGAGAAGATCGCTCTATCCCCTGAGCCACCATGGCTCCTCTAAGCTACATTGCTAAAAAAAAATTATTTTGATGAAAACTCTGACCTACGATACCCACAAACATAAAAGTGGTATCTTAGAAAAGAAAATTCCGGCCAGAATAGCGTGAATTTACTATCACTATTGAATTATTATACATATGTAACATATTTCTATACAAGTCACATTTTTACTGCATTGTTTCAGTTTTCCCCTTTCATATATGCGCACGCAAATATATATATAATACATAACTAAACAGACGGATGTGACATAGCCCTTCGCACAGCTTAAGTAATGGTTACATAAAGATACCCGCAGCGGCCAACTTGTACGCTAGTTGAGGAAAAATGTTCCTAGTGGTAGCAACATTATAGCTTTTTGACACATTAAATCTTCAATTTAAATTTTCGAAAAAAATATCCATCTCCCATGACAAATAAATGATTAAAAAAATATGTGAATATGATCTTCTTGTTGGCATGATCAGGGGGCCCTCCCTGAACGAGAGGTGTCCATCTCCAAACGTTATGCGAAGCTTGGAGGTTGCGGGTTCGAATTCCGCCGTAGCCCTCCTGCATGTATTCTTCTTGATGTCCTTCTACTTGACAAGGGTTTATAAGCTTGCTAATAATGTATATAATTTCAATAAAGCAAGTCTTAAAGTAGCTCTTCTGTCTCGCAGTGGATTGATCATAAAGTCACGGTTCCCAGTAGAACACCGAAATCAAGTATCACTAATTGCGGCCAGTAAGCGGGTGGGTGACCTTTTTAATAAGCCTGAGTAGGGACCGAGGGTGAGCGGTATCAGTCCAAGTTAAACCGTAGAGTGCTCGACTTCGAGAGCAGGACATCGGGCTGCCAAAGAAGGAGAGCCATCAAAATTGTCTTCGGATCATCCTCAGGGATGGTTCCCAGACCGTCGCATGGGTGAAAGCGAGACGGAAAAAATGGTAGTAAAACCATTTCAGTTTTAACTAGTTTTCCTGAGGCGTAAATCTATTCCCTTCAAACTATTCAATAACTACTTTTTCATGGAAACGAAGCAGTTTTATATACAGCGTGATTCTAAAACGATGGGAAAAATTTTAGGAAGTGATAGTACACACCCAGACAAACAATTTTTATCAAAGAATTCATGGTCGAAAACAAAACCCAAAACCGCTAGAGGGCGTCAGAGTTCATGTTCTTAAATGAGGCAAAAACACACAAAGAACGATGAAGTTAAGTTATAAAAGCAAATTTAATGGCATGTGATTACAATAAGTGTTCAAAACAGTGACCGGCAGCGGCTATGCTGGTACAACGGCGAAGAAAAGATAGGCGAACTTTCCCTGCAGCGGCCGAAAGCTTGGCGACAAGTAACGCAGCGCAGTAACTCGCAACAGGAATGGAGCTTTCACGTTTGCATCAACGAACTTTCCAAATGCGCCAGCACCTTTGTGTTTTGTTTTCGACCATGCATTCTTTGATAAAAATTGTTTGTCTGGGTGTGTA